ATGATTTTTTTAAAAAGGGAATTTTTTAAAATTTAAAAGGAATAAATTTAACCAAAGAGATGAAAGACCTATATATTGAAAACTTTAAGACATTAATGGAAGAAAATGAAGAAGACACGAATAAATGGAAAGATATTCTGTGCTCCTGGACAGGAGAAATCAATATTGGTAAAAGCAATCTAAAGATTTAATGCAATCTCTACCAAAATTCCAATGGCATTTTTCACAGAAATAGAACAAATGATCCTAAAATGTGTAAAGAACCACAAAAGATCCTGAAAAGCCAAAGCAATCTTGAGAAAGAAAAACAAAGCTAGAGGTACCACACTCCCTGATTTCAAACTATATTACAAAGCTATAGTAATTAAAGCAGTATGGTATTGGCGTAAAAACAGACACCTACATTAAAAGAACAGAATAGAGTGTCAAGAAGTAGAACGATGCATATATGGTCAATTAATTTACAACAAAGGAGCCAAAAATACACAATGGGGAAAGGTGTATTAAATACACCTCTTTAATAAATGGTGCTGGGAAAACTGGACAGCCACATGTAAAGGAATGAAACTTGATCACTATCTTACAGTATACACACAAAAATCACTCAGAATGGATGAATGACTTGAATGTAAGACTTGAAACCATAAAACTCCTAGAAGAAAATATAGGCAGTAAGCTCCTCAACATACATCTTGGTGGTGATTTTCTGAATCTGACATCAAAAAGTAAAAGCAACAAAAGTAAATTAATTATGTGGCAATCACACTAAAAAAATCATGCCTAGCAATGGAAACCACTGACAAAATGAAAAGGCAACCTACAGAGTGGGAGATAATATTGACAAATCCTGTATTTGTTAAAGGGCTAATTTCAAAGTCTATAAAGAATTCATTCAACTCAATAGCAAAAACCAATCCTATTTTAAAATAGGCAGAAGTTAAAAAAATCTTAAAAATTAAAAAAAATAGCTAGAAGATCTGGATAGACATTTCCCTCAAAGAAGACAAACAGATGGCCAACAGGCATGTGAGAAGATGCTCAACATCACTAATAATCAGGGAAATGCAAACCAAAATAACAATGAGTTATCTCCTCACACCTGTTAGAATGCCTAGAATTAAAAAGATAAGAGATAGGTATTCATTGGCGAGAATGTTGATAAAAGGGAACACTTGTGCAATGTTCATGGAATATAAATTGGTGCAGCCACAACAGAAAACAGTACGGAGGTTCTTCAAAAAATTAAAAATAGGAGTACCACATGATCCAGGAATTCCAATTTTGGGTATTTATCTGAAGAAAATGAAAACACTCAAAAAGATAGCTGTACCCCATATTCACAGCAGCATTATCTGCAATAGTCAAGATATGGAAACAACCCAAGTGTCCACTGATGAATGAATTGTGATATATATATATATATATATGTATATATATATATACACAGAATGGGAAATTATTCAGCCATAAAAAAATGAAATCTTGTAATTTATGACAACATGGATGGACGTAAAGGGCATTCTGCTAAGTGAAATAAGTCAAAGACAAATACCCTATGATCTTTCTTATACATGGAACCTAAAAAAATAAGAACAAAAATAAAACGAGCTCTAGAAAGAGAGAGGTGGTTGCCAGAAGTGGTGGTTGCCAGAAGTGATGGATGGGGATGGAAGAAACAGGTGAAAGGGGTAAAAAAGAGAGAAAAATAGATCTCCAGCCAAGGACAGTGCCCATGTTCTATTTTACTACTTTTAATATTAAATCTACCATTGTATCCTCAGTACATGAGCATATATTTTCCAAGTTGTCTAAATTAAACTCCAATATGTAGTAACCAAAATAAATATTTATATTTTTGTGCATAGCATACACACCATAGACTGATAGTCAATATAAAATAGTACTTTAGGTCATTTCTGAGGTCCCCAAAAGGCTCATCATTAAATACACTGGACTGGGCTCTGTAGGAATCATGTTATTGAGTCTGAAAAAAAAAAAATGTTGTAATGGAATGTGGTAGATGTAGTGTAGTCCCTTAAATCAGTTATTAAAAAAATACTTTTTAAAAACAGATGCTTTGAAACTAGTAGAAATTATTGGTGCTGAGAATACATTTGATTTAAAAAATCCTGTTTTCAATGCAAAGCTAAACTTCTAAACAGATACTATTTTCACAGACTCTGAGTTATGATTAAATATATAGTTGGGCTGACACAGTGTTGAAATAGAATCTGGGAAGGTAGGAAGGAAGGCAGGAAAGAAGGGAGGGAAGGAGGGGAAAAAAGAAAGAAAGAAAATGAATGAATTAATTAATTTTGCTAAGTTAGTGAAAAATCTCCCACTCCAGTATCTGACCACCTTCAATATCTGAACTAATTTCCCATCCCTCACCCTGGTCTGCCTTCAGCAAGAGCTCTGAGGAGTCTGTCCAGCAAGAATCCTCCTCACCCCTGATGTGTGCTCTAAGTAATTTTCTACCCACTGCCCCCGACCCAGCTCCTTGGCTATAAATTCCCCCTTGTCCTTGTATTCAGAGTTGAGCCTAACCTCTCTCCCCTACAACAAACTCCCCTTGTAGTAGCCCCCCCAGAACAAAGTCTTCCTTACCGTCTTTAACAGGTGTCAAGAATATTTTTTTAACGTTGTGTTTGTTCACCCAATGAATTATCATAAGCTGTGAAAATGAAGGAACTATAATTGCATGCGTCAATGCAGATCAATCTTGTTGAGTCTAAAGAGCAAGTTGTAGAAAACACGATACTGGGGCAGCCCAGGTGGCTCAGCGGTGGCTTAGCCCTTGCCTTTAACCCAGGGTGTGATCCTGGAGTCTCGGGATCGAGTCCCACATTGGGGTCTCTGCATGGAGCCTGCTTCTCCCTCTGCCTGTGTCTCTGCTTCTTTCTCTCTCTAGCTCTCAAGAATAAATAAATAAAATCTTAAAAAAAAAAAAAAGATAGAGTATAGCATTAATAAAGTTCCAAAAACAAGAACATAAAACTAAACAAAATAATGACAATGTTTAGGTATATATAAAACTTTTTTCAAATGTCTGCATGTGTGTGTTTATACACACACACATATATATTTTATATATTTATATATATAAAATTTCCAAGGAAATGATAAACCTTAGCAATCAGGAAAGTGGTTTTATGTGAAGCAGAGGCAAAAGGATGTGCTAGGAAAGGAGCACCTGGGGGGATGTAGGTGCCTGGGTTTGGATGGCGGGATCATGGGTGTTTATTATATTGTGAATAAATACAGAAATAAATTTAGGTGCTAGGAAGACTCCCTGGAGCGGATGATGGGGAGTACAGGCAGAGAGCTGAACGGTGAATGGTGAATCCGAGTTACCTGGGGTCAGGCTGTACCAAGGACAAAGGTCAGTGTGTGCAAAGGCCTGTGTCTGGGAGAGAGAGCTTGACTTGCTGGAGCTGCCTCGGGGTGGGGTGGGGTGGGGTGGGGTGGGGGGGTGGGTGTCCCAGGGAGGCCGGGTCCACAGCAAAGCTGCAGAAGAGGGAGGCTAAAGGACGGGAGTCCTAGTGAGGTAGGAAGTGGGAAGCGATCCTGCAGGCCAGGCAGTACCCTGAAGGCGTGGAGGAGGGAGCCGTCATGCTGGTTTTATGAAGACACCTCTGGCAGTGCAGGGGAAGTAAGTAGGCCGTCCCCAAGCAGCCTAACCACTGTCTGTGCCGCCAGCTTGGTCACCACCTTGGGCTCACACTGCAGTCAGGCTACATGGGCTCTGTGCCATGTAGGGGTAGCTACCTAGCGAGGCGACCATCCTGCCCCAGGGGCTAATTGGCCTAACCACCTCCACCTGGAATCATTCCCAGAAATGCCCTTCCCCGTCCGGGAAAGGAGCCCCAGAACCTCCATCCAAACATTTCCCTCCCTGGTTTGAACTGTCCTCACCAGTCTGTGTCCTTGGCGACCGGGGCGCTCTGCATTTGGGCTCCCAGGCGCCTGGCCCCGAGAGGCCCGGGGGCAGACCCAGTGATTGTGGAATGGGACTGAGGTCAACCCCGGGAGCGCACGCGGACACCCGGACCCGGAACTTTTAATTTCCCAGAGGAGGCCCAGAAGCTAGCTTCGAAGCAACCTCCCGGGGGGCCCCCCCCCACCCCGCCCCGCCCCACCCCCGCCCCGGCCACGCCCTCTTCCTTCCCCCGGGCTGGGGCGGGCCACCCAGCCGCCCGCCGTCCGCTCCGGGAGCCCGCGGAGCAGAGACCCACCTCCCCGCGCCTCGGGTGGGCGGGAAGGCCCCGTGAAGCAGGTGCAGTATGAAATCGGAATTTGAAAGACGAGTTGGAGCCTGCTCTTTAAAAATAAAGTGTGGACACGTGTCTAAGGAAGAGGCTATTAAGCCATCCTCTCTCCCCGGCGGCTTGCTTCCCACGTGCGCTGGGAAGAAGCCCCAGCGCCGCCGAGTGACCGTGGGTGTCTCCTCCCCGCGGGGGCACCCCCCCCGCTCCCCGCGCGCCTGAATGAAGGGGGGAGCCCCCGTGCGCATGAATGGGTGCGGGGGGAGGGAGCGCGCGGCGAGCGGGCGGGTGAATGGCGACCGGCGCAGGGGCGCGGGCGCGGGCTCCACTTCCCTCTCCCGCCAGCTGGTGGCCTCGGGAAGGTGGCGGCGCCGGCGGCCCGGGCTGGGACGGGCCGGGGCGCGGGATGGCGGGGGAAGGGGCGTTCCCGGCGGCCGCGCCTTCCGCGGCTATTGGATTAGTGGCCTTCGGGGATGAGCTCAGCCGGATCGGCTTTCAGCTGCAGCCTCCGGGCCGGCGGGGCAGGCGGGGAGCGGGCGGCGGAGGGGGAGGCGGCGGCTGCAGCATCCAGGGCTGGCCGCGGCGGCCGGCGCGCCCCGCGCACAAAGGCGCGCAGCCCCGGGGAGGGCGATGAGCGCCCCGCCGCGCGGGCCCGGGCCCCGGCTCCAACTACCGCTGCGCGCGCCCGGGGCGCCGGGGGCGGGGGCCGGGGGCCGGGGGCCGAGGCGCGGCCCGTGAGCCCTGAGCCCGGGACTCGCCGCCCTCCGGGGCCGGCGCGGAGCTTCGGCACGGCGGGAGCGCGGGCCTCGGCGCGCCCCGGGGTCCGCGCGGGGAGGCGCTGCCCCACTCGCTGCCGACCCCTCGCGCCCTCCCGCCGTGCCCGCGCGCCAACTTCCCCAAGAACGCCCAACTCCAGGCCGCCGTGCCGGGCGCCGGCGGGGAGGGCGCGCCCCTGGCCCCGGGGAGCCGGCCGGCATCTCCGCGGAGGCTCGGGCGCCCCTGAGTGGGCGGCGGCGGCCGGCTCTCGGCGCAGCGCAGGACCCGCCAGCCCCGCGACTCCCCCGGCAGCCGCTCGCCGGCTCTTGTATGGTGAGTATCGTCCGGCTCCTGGCGAGGGGCGCCCTTGGGCGCGCGGGAGCCCGGCGCCGAGCCCTCGCGCGGGCCGCCACCCGCCGCCGCGGGAGCTCCTGGCGCGGGTCCTGCCCGGGTTCCCGGGAATTCCTGTCCGCGGGCTGTGGCCGTGCGGACCCGCTGGTTTGCGTCCAGGCTTGGGGCATTTGGGGCTTTGGGGGCTGGCCCCTGATGCCGTAGGTTCGAAGCTTGCTGCTTCTCGGGCTGATGGAGACGGCGCGGAAAACTGCTCCCCGAGCCTCCCAGCCCGGGTTTGGGCGCAAGATCCGTCATTCATTTGCGGGGTGACCTTGGGCCAGGCGCCAAACCTCAGTTTCCTCATCTGTAGGATGGGGCTGATCATGGTACCCGCTTTATAGGGGCATTGGCAGATTTATGAGGTGATGCCCCTAACGTACGTAGAGCTGTGCCTGGCACATAGGAAGTGCTCGGCCAGATGCTAGCCGGCATTATTATCAGCGGTGCGAGCCCAAGCGTGTCACAACTTTCCGGAGCTGTAGCCGCTCCCTCGTCTGTATAATGGGGACCGAGTAAATTCTGGGGGTCTGTTCGTCGGGGTGCGTGTGGGGGGAGGGGATTCGGAGCTCTGGAAGTCAAGGGCCTGGCACGCAGGAGGCTGTGATGAAGGGGTGGCTGTGGCTACCGGTTACTCTAGACGCCGGGGTGGGGAGGCTGGTCGCCCGGCCTGAGCGCCGCCGGGGCCAGTTTCTGGCCTCGCTTGGAGACAAACTTGGTGATGCTCAGGAAGGGAGGGGTCGCGAGCTCCGCGAGCCACGGGCAGGGGTAGGAGGTGGGGTCCGGGAAGGAGGGAGGAGGGCAGAGCCTGGAGCGCGGCAGGGGTGTCCGCCGGGGGTGGGTGGGGGGGCGCAGGACGCGCCACGGGCTCACAGCCAGGAGGGGACACCGAGCCCAGGACCTCACCGGGCTGGGGTAAACTGAGGAAGCGCCCCCCCCCCCCAGCCTCCCTAAGGGCTGAGCGTGGAAGATTGCGGACTGGAAGGGAGGGGAGGGCACCTCGGTGCCGCTGTCACCAGGAGGTGGAGAGCTCCGGGCTCTGGAGTCAGGCTAGAGTTCGAATTCCGCCTGCACCGGCAGCCCTCGCTGTGACCTTGGGCCGGTTCTCTAATCTGTCCCAGCTCGGTTTCCTCCTCTGCCCTATCCTCCACGGGGGGGCGGGGGGGGGCGGGGGCTGCGGGGTGAAGATAGGAGTTCTCTCCTCTCTAGGAATCCGAGCCCCCCATTCCTCCACCCACCTTCTGGCCCTCCCCGCAATCTGATGAGCCTAAATCTGGAAGACGTGAAATGTTATGCTTGAGCCTCAGGGAAACGCTATTAAAAGGAGACTCCGGGATCTGCCCACCCTCTTGCTCGCAGGTCAGGCACCATCAGAAGAGATCAGAGCACTGACTCTCTCCCAGCCTCTCCACCTTCTCCCCTCTAGCCTCCAACCAAATCCTGCAGCTTCTCTCGCTCTGGCTGGTAGGGGACTCCCTCTCCCCCCTCCCCCTCCCCAACCTTCATCTGTTTCTAAAGGTCTGCAGATTAATGAAGTTCGTAGAAAGACGAACTTTGCTATTGACGAAAAGTGTCAATAGCATGCTATAAGCATGCTTTACACGAGGGCCTATCCCTCTGAAGTACATACCCTCCAACTGATTCAATTTTTAAAACTTCCTTAAAAAAGTAGTCCTAAAAAGAATTTAAACTACCTCTGGCAAACAACAACCTTCAACCTGCTGGCCATTTCACTCAAGTATCTCTCAAATGTCTTGTATTTCTGTTTCCTTTCAAAGACTGATACATTCGATTATATAAAAAGAAAATCTGCAGGGAAAAGAAACCACCAGCAATAGTCAAGAGATACAGGACAGACTAGGGGTAGAATTGCCACTCCTATCACAAAGGGCTCGTTTCTTTCATATGTAAAAGGTTCCTCAAGTCAATAAGCAGAAGATCAAAACTGGACAAAGACCATAAACAGTCCACACAAGACGAAATTTAAATGATACTTAAACGTATGACAGGATGCTCTACCTCCCTCAATAAGAAGAGTGCAAGTTAAAACTACAATAAGATACATTTTTTCACGTATCAGATTAGCAGGCAGTAGCAATAAGCATTTAGCAGAAACATCTTTTATTTATTTATTTTTAAAGATTTTATTTATTTATTCATGAGAAGGAGAGACATAGGCAGAGGGAGAAGCAGGCTCCTCACAGGGAGCCCGATGTGGGTCTCTATCCTGGACCCTGGGATCACACCCTGGGCTGAAGGTGGCGCTAAACCGCTGAGCCACTGGGGCTGCCCCCCAGAAACATCTTTTAAAAATATAAGTGCATTGGGGCACCTGAGTGGCTTAGTTGGGTTAAGCATCGGAGACTTGATCTCAGGTCAGGTCTTGATTTCAGGGTTGTGCATTCAAGCCCCACACTGGGCTCCAATCTGGCCTACCTGAAAAAAAATCCATCAGTCAAAGCCCTCTCTATCTTAGAACCTCCTCAAGGCTGCCCTGCACTAGAATCAAAGGACTCCAGGGTCTTCCAGGCCTGGTTACTGTCCCCTTCTCCCTTTGTCATCATTTTCTTCTCTCATTGCCTTCCACCCCCTGGCCTTTCTGGTTTTGCTGTTCCCCCTGCCTTGACTACTTTTTCTCTTTCTCCTCATCTATTTTGCTTGCTTCCTTCCTTCCTTCCTTCCTTTTTTTTTTTTTTTTTTTTGTTTTAGAGAGAAAGTGTGAGTGGGTAGGGGGTGGAGACGGAGAGAGAGACTCTCAAGTAGACTCTGCAGCGGAGCCCAACACAGGGCTTGATCTCACAACCCCGAGATCACAACCTGAGCCAAAATCAATCACCACTTTGGGCTCACACTTCACTTAAGACTCACTTCTTCTGACTTGGGTAGGCCTGTCCTTGGGGGACTTTACTCTTCTCCCAGAGTTTCTCATTTCTTTGTGAAGAGACTCAGTTTAACTTACCATATGGGGGCTACTTAATTCCCCCTGAGTTGCTGGCCTGTTGTCCCATAGCCAGGCTCCTGAAAGGTCTCTTTTCTGTTGGTATAAGAACGAAGGGTCTCCGGCAACTCCCTGGCTAGACTCAGGTCATTTGTGTGGAAAATCAGGGTGGTGGTGGGACCTGGAGTGAAGTGATCCGAAGTTTCTGCTTCACAGTCATTTAAAAAAAAGTAAGTACATAAGGGCTCCTGAGTGACTCAGTTGGTTGAGCTTCCGACTTGGTTTTGGCTCGGGTTGTGATCTTGGGGTTGTGGGATTGAGCCCCATGTGGGGCTCTGTGCTCAGCATGGAGTCTGCTTGAGATTCTCTCTCTCTCTCTCTCCCTCTGCCCCTCCCCCTGCTGGCTCTCTAAATCATGCTCTCTCCCTCAAATAAATAAGTAGAATCTTTAAAAAAAAATAAGTACATAAATGTGTGCACTTATGTAAACATAACCATACATATTTGGTAAAGAAGATCAATAGCAAAAAATACATAAGATATCAACACATATTAAAATAAAACACGGTTCCTAAATAAGTCAGCTAGTTTATCTGCTGCTGCTCAGCTCAGGAAATAAGAATCTGGAGGCTGTGAGAAAAACACTTGTCTGTGCTGAACCCTTGGGAAAGAGGATGGTGAACCCAAATCAGGTATCGTGGGCCCTGTGGGCCTTTCCAGGGCAGTGTTGACCACATGTGATTTTTGCTTCACATTATTGAGTTTAGAACTTAATCCCCATTGAAAATGTGTACTTTAATTATGAGAAAAAAATGTTTGTTGTTAAAAATCCAAACTACACAAGAGATGTGGAGTAGATATTCCTTCTTCAACCCCACTAGTAGTTTCTCACCTAGCCAGAGGTAGCAGGTGCTAGCTAGATGCTGGCAGGAGGTAGAGGAGAGCTGGGTGTTGGGTGCTGGCTCTGCCAACAAGAAATGCAGCATGTGGTGCAGAAGACAACAAGGACGAGGATGCAGGGAGATGGAGGGCTGGCACAGAGGCTGCCCGGCCTGCTTGCAGGGAGAAATCAGCCAGCCAAGGGAAAGTGGGAAGGTGCCAGAGAACGTATGGACGAGATGTAGTGCTCCAGGGAGTCTGACATGGCTGCTCTGAGCTGGGCCATGCTGGGAGGCAGTGTGGGAGAAACAAATGTGAGCAGGCCTTGGGGACTGTTGTGCCAAGCTCTGGGGTGCAGCTTCCCCCTGAGAAGGCACCTGGAGAGATGAATGTCAAGATGGATGATGGCTTGGTCAGACTGACCCCTTGGCAGCATGGGAGGGGGGTTAGGAGACACAGACTGGAGTCAAGGAGCCCCGTTAAGGAGACCATTGCCGTAACTGGAGCAACAGCAGAGCTAAGGGAGAGCTGAAGTTGCTGAGTGAGAGCTGGAGAGATGGAGGGACCCCCAGCAGAAACTAGGGTGTACAGAGAGGAACTTGGTATACTGGAGAGGGATGAAACTGTGGCTCAGCCCTGGACATGTAGGTTATGAGGTGCCAGTGGGTCCCCAGATGTCTGACATCTGGAGAGGGTGAGCATGCCCCCAACCCCCGGCGGGGAGGCTTGTGGTAGAAAGAGGCCAGCTGGCTTTACAAGGTTGTTGGAAGGAGCACCCAATCTGGTGATGGTCAGAGGCTTCCAGAAAGAGGGATCTGGTGCTGAGGGGAGAAGGCAGGGCTGGAGACCCAGTTTGGAAGAATCGGCAAGAAGCCAGAAATGAGAGAGGAGGAGCAGAACCTGAAGATGTGACCTAGGGGGCACTCCATTTGTTTATGGGGTGGGGAAGGTGCATCCTAGAGCCCGGAGGTGACCGGAAGCTGCCCTGAGCTCTGTACCTCCATGCGTGTGCAGAGAGAGAAGCCTAGAGCAGCTCCAGAGTCACCCACCTGGCTTAGGGCTGTGAAGGGTCATTGCTGGTGAACCCGGAGCCCTGCCTTCTCCAGGAAGGAGCTGAGATTGTTCCAGTCAGTCTGGCCACAGAGATGGCTCCCCTGTCAGTCATATACTATGAGACAAGTCAGTCACACAGATTCCTGGGGCCAAGGGCTCCCTCCCACCTGGCCCTCTTCTCCTCTCTCTCTCTCTCCCAGGTCTCCGTGTTTTTCTGCTTCCTCAAAAGCCCCCTTTCCTCTCTCATCCTCTCCCTGGTCTCTCAGAAATGCTCCTAGAGACACCTCAGGCTTCACAGAGGGACCTTCAGAAATCCCAGCAGGTGCCTATCGTGATCCCCTGGATCAAGCCCGAAGCATGAATAAATTTGCTTTTCTTTCAGGCATCCTGAGTTTTCCCACAACCAGTCACGCCAAATAAATGGGAGATAAATGAGGGGCTGGACATGAAGATTATCGTGTTTCCCTCACAGAATGTTGCCCAGGAGGGTCCCAATGTGTAGCACCCTCCCCCACCACCTGTGTTCCAGCTTTGCTCTAGCCTGAGCCACGCCGGGCCTCACAGAGGCCAGCTGCCCCCCGGAACAACCCGCATGTGCCTGCGGCCGCCCTCTGCACACAGGGGCAGCTGCAGGGTGACCAGGCCTGCCTGCCAGAGCTGCATGGGCCTTGCCGTAGGGCCTCTGGCCTCACTGCCTCAGAAGTGTGTCTCTTTCAAATGACCTTGTAGATAGAGCATGCTGGCCTGGTCTCTGACCGGCAACCTCCTTCATCCCATCCTCTGCTCCCCTTGCTGGCTGACAGCCTGAGCTTCTGCCTTGGGGGCTCCTGGCTCAGTCACGCGTGGGAGGATTCCCATGGAAACCCCACAAGAAGGAGAGGCTGGGGGAAGCCTCATTGATTTGCACTCTAGGAAGACAGGCGTGAGACGGTTCCACCTGGAACTGGACAGATGGCTCTCTTTGTGAGCGCTGGGGAAGAAAGGACTTGCCCAGCCAGTTGTAGTGTGAATTCCATGCATGTATATAGACGGGAAAAAGATAATGGGTGTCTGTGGATAAAACCCTGGAGGTTCTTTAGTTCATTCGTCATTGGTGGTTTCATCCTGAATGAGCATCTTTTAATAAAACAGCCCCTCTACTTAAATATTTGTGCTAAGAAAATCTTTGAAACATCCCTGTCACACCAGGTTCAGCTAGGTATTATTGGCACCATTTGTTGTAAAAATGCAGGAATGGAGATGACAGATGAGCTCATGGAGCTCTGTACTTCCAGCTCATGCCTCTGCGGAGGTTCTTTTGCCCATTTGCTCAGGCCTGTGCGTTGTGTAGATAGATGTTCACCTAGCACTTGCTCTGAGGCAGAGCCACTCGGAGTCCTGGGGCCTGCAATGAGGAGGCCCAGACCTGCTCTCAAATGGTTCCCTAGCTGGTGGGAGGGAGGCAGCTAAGGAGACTCGAGGCCTCCGGTGATAAGTGTGGTGGACAAGTCCAGGGGCTCTGCGGGTAGGGGAGGGGGCTCCCCAGAGGTGTTGATACCCAGCCGAACTACCCGGATGCATGCATGGTTGGGGGGTGGGTGTGCAGGGAGAGGGAAGGAAGGGAGGCAGCGGCAGGTTGGGACAGGGATGTGTGGGCTGCCGTGTGCCTGTTGGGAAGTTCGGCAGGGGGATGGGGGTGCAGTGGAGGAGTTTAGTGGAGGGGCACTTGGGGAGGTTAGGGTTAGGAGTCTGCACTTCATCCTGCTGCGAAGGACTGTAGGCAGGGGCATGATTAGATTAGCTTGGCTTTTTTTTTTTTTTTTTTTTTTTTTTTTTTTACAAATGCCATAGCAGATACTTGAAAGCAGTACGAGTCTGTTAAAGGAACTCGAATGGTATCAGACCTCAGTGTTTTTCATAGTCCTTGTCATAATTCAGACCTGTCACTGGGTATGACCCCTTTGGGGCCAGCTCTCCCTAGAGGGAAGCCATCCGGTGTTAGACTTTCCTGTAGCCTCCCAGATCCCCAGGGAGGCAGCATTATTGCTGGTTAAAAGCAGGAATGAAATCCATACTCACCCCTAAGTCTGAAGCCAAAGGCCGCCCTGGGGGGAGGGCGGCTCACCCAGCCATTGCCAAGTCCTGCAGCGTGGGGCTCGTGGGAGCGCCGTGCCCGGGAGAGCCGGCGGACGGGCCTCTGACAGTGGCAGTTCTGGTCCTGTGCCTCTGGGGACTGCGTGTCACATCTGCAGACCGCTGCGGCTCCTTGAGCGTCGCGGCCTCCACGCTTCATGTTTCCTCATTTCTCCGTCAGGTCGCGACACCCACCAGGGTCCCGGGAGGGGCGACTGGCAGTGTGGGGTTTTGTCTCCTCGCTCAGCTATCATTGAAGGCCCGGGGCGTCCGGGGACGTCGGTAAGCATCCCATCCAAGCAGAGACTAAGAGATGAAGTCTGGTTTGCGGGGAGTGCGGCAGAGGCGTCGCTAGGCCCCGTGCAGTGTGCCCTCTGCCTCCTGGGTTCAGAGGTGACCCGATTCCTAGCAGGAAGTTGGACTTTGTTGTAGCGCCTGTGTGCCTGGCCCAGGGCCAAGTTCTGTGGTGGAGACGAGAAGAGAAATGTGACAGGCGCCCACTCCTTCTGGCTGAAGGGAGAAGGCAGGGACGGAGTCTGACTGGGCTACTGCTCTATCCCCGGCTCCCAGCACCACGGGCCCGGCACATGGCAGCTATCCTCCAAGTGTTTGTTGAGTGAATAAATGAGGACCGGGGCAGGAAGCGTGCCCGGCTGTATCTAACAAAGGGCAGACTGGAGACGGCCAAGCGTCAGCTGCTCAGAGGAGATGACAGTGTTAGTGGCAGAATGAGGCCCCAAGTCCCCATTTCCTGACTACATCCTCTAAAAAGAGCAGAAAGCGACACCCCCCTGAAGCTCAGTGTCACCTCCCCACACTCCTACATGTACTCTACCCTGTGTTTGTTTTTTTTTTTTTTTTTTTTTTTTAAACTTTTTTATTTATTTATGATAGGCACACACACAGAGAGAGAGAGAGAGAGAGGCAGAGACACAGGCAGAGGGAGAAGCAGGCTCCATGCACCGGGAGCCCGACGTGGGATTCGATCCCGGGTCCCCAGGATCGCGCCCTGGGCCAAAGGCAGGCGCCAAACCGCTGCGCCACCCAGGGATCCCTCTACCCTGTGTTTGAAGCACGGTGCCTGTGTCTGTGCCCTGGGGAGCAGAGAAGCCCAGGTGAAAGCTTCCTGTGCTCAGAGGAACACTCCTGGAGTTAGAAAAAAAAAAAGAAAAGAAAAAGCAGATCAACAGGATCAGAGAGCCCAGGCTGGCTCTGGATGGACAGAGTTGCAGGGCAGGTGCCTGGAGGCCTGGTGGATCAGGGCAGGCTTCCTGGAGAAGGTGGAGCTGTCAGGCAGGACTGGGGAGATGAAGCCAGAAGGACTAGAAGCCCCACCCACCACTGACCTATAGCGGGGGGGGGGGGGGGGGGGGGGAGGTTTAGGATCTGGGACTCTGTTCGGAGCTTCCTTTCTCCCAGCTCTGACCTTGAGTCAGCCGGTCACCCTGTCCCTGGATTCTGGTCCTGACCATTGCCCTTGACAGTTTCCACAGGGCCAAAACCAAATGATTTAGCCCCTCTTTCCTGCATTCGTTATTCAGTTACCAGTTGCAGGAGGCCATAGGAGCTGGGACCTCCCTGGGGTGAGGACTGCTGAGGCAGGGAGTCCCGCTGGGGTGCAGGGTTGCTGAGAGCAGGATAGAGCCCCCACTGCAGCTGGGCATCTGGGCTGGAAGCTAAGACGTAATCCCCTGTTGCTGAGCGTGTGCACTGACGTCCGTTGTTTGCTCCTATGAACCATCCTGCCCTCTTTAGCTGAATCCTAGCGCACTCCCGTGGTCCTTCTCTTAGGATGCGTTCGTTCAGGCACCGAAATGGCAAGGTCGGAGAACGTACACACTTTGGAGGAGCTCTTCCCATTTCCTGGGCAGCTCCTGGGTGCCCTGTGCCGTTCCAGACTCTACAGACATCCTTGCAGAGGCAGGCAAGGTTAGCACTGAGTTAGCGGCACTTTGCAGGTGAGTGTCAGAGAGGTTACGTCCCGGCCTGGGGCCCGGGGGGGCAGCCGGGCATTCAAACCTGCCCTTTGTTACGTTGCGAGGTCGCTAGTTTTCCAGTAGCAGATGGACCTGAGCACTCTGGTCAGGCCCTGCCCTGGGGGGCGCAGCAGAGGTGCTGACTGTCATACGTCTGCCTTGCCTCCCGCCCGCCTTTAAAGTTGGCCTGGTGTGTACAGGGATAAAGTAGTTTCCTTAGACACGTCCTGTGCAGGCCACACAGCACTGATTACAGCTGGCATCGCGCACAGGCCCCGTTCCTCACACTGTAGAAGAAGATGGAAGAGCACGGGCTTGTCCTACCGTGGCCCGTGGGTCCATCTCATTCCTGCCACTTGCTGGGAGCCTCTCTCAGCCTGTTTCCCCTTTTGAATAAAGGGGCACATGCCTTCCTGTGAAGCAGCTGTCATGCCACCTGTGAGTGCAGATGCTCACGGTCAGTGATGGAGACAGCGCCGAGGAGCACATGTAGTGGGGACTTTGGGTTCAGCGTGGGATCAGCTCTGCTGTGGTTTAGCCATTTCACTTTGCTCAGGCTGCTACCTCTTGGCGCCTCAGTTTTCCGATCTGTTAGAATGGGACTATAAGGTGCCTTTAAGTGAATTATAAAAGGGGCAGATTCCAGCCCCCTCGCAGTCAGATGCGCTAGGGCAGAGAGTATAGACTTACGGAGGTGACCCTGGAGGAGTGTTGGTTCTATTAATTGAATCTCCCCTGAACCTTTCACACGCAATTTTGCTTATTCCTCATAATCTGGTTGAGGCTCAAGGGCTGGGTGAAGGTTGCTATGAAGCTCCAAGATGACTAGAGAAAAGATAGAGAAAAAAGCAAGTTGTCTTGTTAACTGAACTACAGTGTCCAGTTTTCTTGTAGATACAACTGCTCTTCATTTCCATTTGGGCCCTTTGGGTTAAACACCCGCCTCACTCCCCTCATCTGCCCTCTTCCTCCTCTGCCTTCCCTCCACAGTAAATGGCAGTGTACTGCACAGAATACTCTGCACTTTTGTTTCTGGAGCTTCATCTCTGTCGAATCTTCCATGTCAGTATGTTCTTTTCTCCAGCTGCATAGTATTCCATCATATGAATTATCATAATTTATTTGGCCTGTCTTTAGTTTTTTTCCCCCAATATTTTGCTATTACAAACAATGCTGCCTATGTGTATATGTAATATATATAATATTTGATTTATAAGTGTACTATACATAATACGTATGTGTACATGATACGTGTACATAATATGTGTACATAATACGTATGTAGTTCTGCGTATTTAATACTAAATAAATAACTAGAAGTAGAACTGCTAGGTCAAGAGGAACACACATTTGCAATTCTGAGAGATGGTGCTAATTCGTCATCCACTGAGGTTACGTACAGCATTTTACCTTCGGTTTAGCAATGTCTGAGCCTGTCTGCTTCTCCAAGAAGCTGTTATCTGTTTTTTTGAGCTTTGCTAATCTGATAAACAAAACTGGCATTTCATTGTAGTTCTAGCTTGTTTCTCTTTTATTATGCATTTGGTAGAGCATCTTTTCAAAAGAGCCATTTGTTTTTCTTTTTGTGTGAACTATTTGTTGTATCTTTCACATTCCGTGTGTGGGTTGGTCTTCTCTTACCAATTTACAGTAGTTTGTCATATATTTGTAATTTGTGTCATAAATGTTTCCCCACATTGAAACAATAAGCTAGTTTAACCTTTTTTATGAGTGCTTTTGGTTTTTTCTCATTTTCATTTCTTATTTCTTATGTTTGTGTCTTCTCCCTCCCTTAAATGATCAGATTAAGTGGTTGGTATATTTTATTGTTTATTTGAGTCATCAAAGCCCCACATTTAAAATATATTTAGTTATATGTGAAAATGTTAATTATTTAATTTTAAGTGAAATAACGTGAATAAAAGTCCATGATGCCAATATTAAAAAGAAAATTCACTAATATTTTGTAGATTAAAAAAAAGATTAAATGATATAATCCATATGCTAATAGTGTTTACATCTGGTTACCAAGACAGGTGGTGATTTTTACGTTTTGTGCATGTTTTTGAATTTTCTAGAATTTAAAAATTGATTTAATGTTTTCTAATTAATAGTCTTTAATTTTTAGAATAGTTTTAGAGTTATAGAAGAACTATGTAGAAAGTAGGTAGAGGGCAGCCCCAGTGGCTCAGCGGTTTAGCGCCGCCTTCAGCTCAGGGTGTGATCCTGGAGAACCAGGATCGAGTCCCACTTCGGGCTCCCTACGTGGAGCCTGCTTCTCCCTCTGCCTGTGTCTCTGCCTCTTTCTCTTTCTCTCTCTCTCTGTGTGTGTTTCATGAATAAATAAATAAAATTAAAAAAAAAAGGTAGGTAGAGTTCCCATATACTCACACCCAGTTCTCTCTATTATTAACATCTTACATTAGTATGGTACATTTATCACAGCTAATGAACCAGTATTGGTACATTGTTACCTGAAGGCCAGGCTTTACTCAGATTTCCTTAGTTTTCACTTGGTATTGTTTCTCTGTTCCAGGCCACCATATTAAATTTGGTTATCATTGGGCTTCTCTTGGCTGTGACAGTTTCTCAGATGTTCCTTCTCTTCAATGGCCTTAACTGTGTTGAGGAGTATTGGTCAGGTATTTTGTAGGATGCCCCCTACTGGAATCTGTCCTATGTTTTTGGCATGATAAGACTGGGGTTATGGGTTTGTGGAAGACCATAGAGATAAAGTACTATTATGCATTATGTTACATCATTTCATTACATACTATCAACATGATAATGATATAATACATTTTAATAGATAATATAATATGGTTTTATTGCTTTGGTTTTGTTTTTGTGGTATTTTTTCCCCGAAGAACTAGTTCTCAGTTTTTTATTAGTTCTATTATTTTTCTATTTTATGATGCTTAATTCATGTATTTTAATTTTTTAATACTTATTAGTATAAGTACACCAGCTATGATTTCTATTTAGTAGGATCCTACGGGCTTTAAGATATGGAATGTGTTTTGTTATTCTTACTCTCTCCATAGTCTGCAAATTCTATATAGATTTCTTTTTTTGAGTTGTTTAGAAGAGAGTTTTTTAAAATATCTAAGTGGTAGGGTTCTGTATCATAGTTTTGTGATGAGTTTTTAGTTTTTATTTTGTGTTGTTAGATTCTGTATTATCTCTGCTTTTTTTGTGTGGTTTATTTGCAGCCTAATAAATGGGAAATGACCTGTCTTATTAATTATGCAATTTTGTTTTTTTTTTATTTCTTTGCTTAATTTGGTTCATTGACCTGTCATAAGCTAAAAAAGGTAAAGTTAGCTGCCCCTACTGTGTATCTGTCTGTTCTTATGTTTACTGTAGCTTTTGTGGTGGATTTTGGGGCCATTATTTGGTATGTTAGATCTTTAATACTGTTGAGTCTCTTTGCTTTGGAGATGTCTCTTGTAAGTAGCATACAGTGAGAGTCTTGATTTCCAATCTTAGATTTTTTTTTTTTTTTTGTAGTTTACCATGGCCATTCATTGACATAGCTAGTGTTTCAGGCTTAGTTTTACTATCCTATTTTATGTCTTTGTGTTATTGTTTCTATTGCTTCTTACAGCAAAATCTTTCACTGTGTGGTCTGTTTTATTTTGTGTTCTTTCTGACAATTTGGAAAGTTTGTATTTTATTTTCAGTTCTTCCGATGGTTGCCTTTATAACTATGTAAGATGCATTTTGTCTTTTTTTTTTTTTTAGATGGTGCTAATTGTCTCCCTTCTGAAATGAGTGATCACAAAATTAGTTTACACGTTTAATCACAATTTTCATATGCTTCACAGCAGCCTTTTTCTGGTGAATTTTCTTGGTTTGCCTTTTTTTTTTTTTTCCCCTTTTCCTCCTTTATTTCTCCTGGAAGCATCTTTGACTCTATTGTGTGCTTGTTCCTGTCTGAAAGAGGCGAGGCTTCTCTAGGTCAACATTTTGCAATGGATTTATGTAGAGGAGAGGCCAGGAAGTATCCTAGGAGAGCAGGAGCGCTCCCTGGTCTGTTGTAATTTTGTTCCCAGGACCGTGGCCATGATTTCTTTTGGCCTTGCTTCTACCCAGGCAGCAGAGATCTGGAAGCCCTGGGCTCCCCGCCCTGCCCAGGCCCTCCTTTCACTCTGCCTCACTGACACACTGCTTCCTGTGATGATGGCGCCCTGAGTTTCCTTTGCCAGCCCTGCCCTCCTCTATCCTCAGGGTGTCCTAGGCAGCTCCTGCTGTTCTGTTTAGCAACCCTTGGTTTTTTCCATCAGGGAGTGCCAGCTACTGGTCGGCTCTGCCAGCTTTTTCCGAGATCTGCGGCCACAGGTGCTCTCTCGCCCCCGTCGGATCTTCACTGTTTCTGGCAGCCCTTTACTGTTCTTGGCAGTCTTTCCTTCGAAGTTGTGGTTCGGGTTACAAATGTGTTCTAGTTTCGCTGAAGATAACATTTACATTTCTCTTTCTCTTTCTCCTTTATTTTAGGTGATTCGGGATAGGAAAAGGAGTAACTGTATTCTGCTATCTTAGAACTGTCTAGTGTTGCACATTTTTACGCGCTCTGGTTTCCACCAGATTAAACATTAGCCAGAGCTCTTGGGATAGGATTGGCATGTGCTGAAGCGGGGGTCTGCAAATAGAAAGGAAAGAAAATGGGAGTTGAGAGTAAAATAGAGTTAAAAAGGAATCCATAGTCTACCTGCTATGCTGTGTGGCTGCAGAGTTCTCTTCTTTTCCACTTGGACTGTGGCTGGCCGTGTGCCACTGTTTGGGTGGGAGGTTGTGGCCAGGCAGGGCAGGGCATGAAAAATGCCTACCTCTTGGTCTGTCTCAGGGGAAGTTGTTTCAGCCCAGCAGCTCTTAGGCTGGAGGGGAGGGTAGATGCCTCTGCTCTGAGCTAGTTGCAGGGCTCACTTCTCCATCTTTCCCCACATCCAAGCAGTCCAAGCATCCGGGATTCTGGCTGGCCTCCTCGAGATGGTAGCCAAGTCCTCCTCCCTGAAAACCAGGATCCTGCCTCAGAGGAGGTTGTCCGGGGTCAGTGTTGTTGACCTTGTCTATGTGCCCAAAGAAAGAACATGTCCATCCAAAGGGAAGGGGTACTTGTGGGATGTCCAGAGGATAGAGCCGGAGAGGAAAATCTTGCCCATAGAGTCTCAGGTTTGGCCCTTTATATTATTGTCTCTCAGGTTACCATACTACCCAGAGGGTGCTATTTGTCCCCATTTTACAGATGAGGAAACTAGAATCTGAGAGAGGCTCAGAGACCTTTCTTTGGACACACGGCTTAGAGAGGAAGACAGGGATTTGGATGCAGTTCTGTCTGGCTCCAGAGCCTGGACACTAGCCCCCTTATTCCCCTGCCTCCCACTCACCTTCCCATGGAGACACTACCCATCCTCAGATAGTTGTCCTGTATCCATGTCCCTGGGTGATTTTGTTGGATCCTCACTCTGTGTCTTTCTTCTCGAGCCTGGCTACATTTTAGATACAGGGAAGCCAGGCTTGAGAACCAATGTGCCACACCCTATATTTCTGCATCCCCTGTGTCTTGGCTCAGGCCTAGTCCACTGGGACCAAATACACCTGGGCTCTTCTCTAGGCTCTGTGTGGTCTTGGGTCAATCACTTTACTCCTCTAGGCTCCGTCCTTACTTCTAAAATTGTCTGTGATCACTAGAAGAGCAGAACATGGACTCTGGAGCCAGATGATCTCAATGTGAATCTGAGCTCAGCACCTGTTCAGCCATGGGACGCCAGTTAATTAGTTACCCTTTCTGTAATCTAGTTTTCTCAACTATAAAAGGGGAATAATACCGTACACGTCTTACAAGGAGGGCTTAAGGATTAAATGGACTCATAGATGTAAACTGTTCGGAACAGTGTCTGGCACATGGCAAGTACTAGATAAGTGCCAGGTGATATTATGTTAATTGTTATGATTAATGCATGCAAAGGGGCCCGGCCCCTGGGCACAGTGGCTGTCGTAACCCATGCCCTCTGCTTTCTTCCAGGAGCTTGGGCCCCTGCCCCAGCCCGGTAGAGGCTGCGGAGGTGTGCGGTCCAGAAGTCTGGTACCCAGCCCGGAGGCCCCCGCGAGGTAGCGGTGGCCCGCGGCGGCCCCCTCCCGGCAGCGCACCATGGGCCAGAAGCTGTCGGGGGGCCTCAAGTCGGTGGAGGTGCGCGAGCCGGCGCTGCGACCGGCCAAGCGGGAGCTGCAGGGCCCGGAGCCGGGGCGGCCGGCGCGGCTGGACCAGCTGTTGGACATGCCCGCCGCGGGGCTGGCGGTGCAGCTGCGGCACGCCTGGAACCCCGAGGACCGCTCGCTCAACGTCTTCGTCAAGGACGACGACCGGCTCACCTTCCACCGGCACCCGGTGGCCCAGAGCACGGATGGCATCCGGGGCAAGGTGGGCCACGCGCGCGGCCTGCACGCCTGGCAGATCAACTGGCCGGCCCGGCAGCGTGGCACCCACGCCGTAGTCGGCGTGGCCACGGCTCGGGCACCTCTGCACTCGGTGGGCTACACGGCCCTGGTGGGCAGTGACGCCGAGTCGTGGGGCTGGGACCTGGGCCGCAGCCGCCTCTACCACGATGGGAAGAACAGGCCCGGAGTGGCCTACCCCGCCTTCCTGGGGCCCGAGGAGGCCTTCGCGCTGCCGGACTCGCTGCTCGTGGTGCTGGACATGGACGAGGGCACGCTCAGCTTCGTCGTGGATGGCCAGTACCTGGGCGTGGCCTTCCGCGGCCTCAAGGGCAAGAAGCTGTACCCGGTGGTCAGTGCCGTGTGGGGCCACTGCGAAGTCACCATGCGCTACATCAACGGCCTTGACCGTAAGTGCCCAGGGGGGCGGCGGTGGGGAGCAGAGGCTGCCTGGTGCTGGCGGCGTCCGGGAGGGTGGCAGGGAGCAGGTGAGGCCCTGCCCTCCGTGGTCGCTTGGGATGACCCTGCCCGTGCAGAGGACACGGACTCTGGGATGCTCTCATTTACTGGCTTGGTGATCTTGGGCTGTGCCTCAGTTTCCCCACGTGCAAAAGTGGCCCAGGGATAGGAATCTGGGTCAGGGCTGTTGCCAGGGCTCGACTAAGATAATAATGTAGGCAGAGTGCTTAGAACAGTGAGTGGCACCTAATAAGGATTTCCTGTGCTGCTGCTAATCATGAATCTTGCTGCCTGCATAAGGGTCATGCAAAATGATGTCTCCTGTGTGCCAGGCCTCAAGCCCGCAGCAGGGGGAGAGTGACAGTAGAAGATACAGTTCCTGTACTTGAATGCCATGCACTCTGAGTTACTGATAAGTAATAAGCAGTGATAATAACAACTATCATTTATTGACCGCTTGCTGAAGGCAGGGACCAAACACCCAATTTCCAGCTCTTGCTGGTGAATTGCCTGTTAAAAGGGGTCACCTGCCCCTCTATAGCTGATCATTGCCTCCTAGGACCGAGCGCCAGAAGTTGTAGAGTCTTTTGATTTTTCCAAGAGGACCCAGGAATCTAGACTTGTGTGAAAGAGCCCAATTTTTGAAGTTGGCAGCTGTTGAAAACACCATGTTGGCAAACAAAACACCCTTGCAGGCTGCAGACAAGCCCCCAGGCTACTGGGGGGTGATCCTTGGCAGCTCTTCGGCCTCCTCTCATTTAACATGCACCATCATGCTGTGAAGCAGCTTAAAAATCATTGCAACAAAATTGGTTATGATGTTAGGAGGGAGTCACTCAGGGAGGCAGGGTGGCCTCTGCACAGAGGCATGTGTGGCTGCCAGCTGAGTGGAGCCTTGCGGGCTTCTACACTCCTCATCCACACATGACACTTCCTGCCGCAGCCCGGATGAAGCTCACGGAGGCAGGTGCTTGCAGCCAGAATTCCCGTTTATTCACATCAGATGAGAGCTGTAATTGCCCCCTTTTCAGAGATGAGAAAACTAAAGAGTAGAGCTATAGAGAACCAGGCCTTATGTAGGTCTATCGGCCTTCAAAGCCTATTCTTTTCCCCTGCTCCCCCCTCCCTTTCAGTTGAGGGACTGAGAATAAGATCCCAGAAAAGAAGTCAAGAAGAAGATTTTACTCAAGTAAAATTTATATTTCCTTGAGTGTAGGGTAGGTTTACTGATTTCAAGGGGGGAGGGCCAACAGAAAGTGGCCAGCTGGTACGCTCAGCTCTCTGGTGTAATAGGCGACATTCTTGCTCAGATTTCATTTTCACGGATGTTAGACAAAGATTACCATCGATGGCAAGGTGTTGTTCTGTATTCTCTGATTAACTGGTTAGATCTAGGACCAGATGAATGTGTCCTGAGAAAGGCTAGTTTAGTCATCCCAGTGCCTTGTGGAGAATGTGATAGACATGAGGACCGGCCAAACCCAGTACTGAGAAAACCAACAGCAACAACAAACACTCCTTTCAAGCAGAATTGGAAGACTTACTTGCCAGGATTTATCATGGGAGGAGAAGAGTGGACTTGGCATACAAGGCTTTGGAGTCTGACACGCCATAGTTCCAACTGCATCCCCAGTGCTCAATGGTTTTGTGTCCCTGGTGAGCCATTCTAATGCCTTACAATTCATTCTGCTTATCAGTAGAATGGGAGGTTGGTATGGTGGTGCCAATAATATGGTAGGTGAGATTAGGGACTGACATGGATACCCAGTAGGAGCTCCCTGAGCCAACGGTTGGGCCCCCAAGGTGGGCTTCCTCTTGGGTATTGGTTCATGCTCAGCTATTTGTTGCTTTGTTTTCAGGTTCAAAGCTAAGGTGCTAATGAGGTTGTAGCCAGTGGCCGCGCCCATGCATGTTAGGCTCAGGAGCAGTCAAGCCATGATATCCTCCTTGGTGTAATGTTGGTGGGGAGCTGGATGAGAGAGGACAGCTGTTTGGGGGGCACTTTGAGCTCTTGGATCCTTCAGGTGGCTAGAGAAGCTTGGTGAGGCTGAAACTTGGTCTGTTCCATCCTCCTCCTCACTGGCAGGGACTTTTGAGGTTGGCTGGAGCTGGAATGCTCATCAAAAGGCTAGGGAAGGCCAAGATGTCAGGTGATGCAAACCTGTAGCATCTGTTGTCCCATGTCAGGATTGGCTTGTCTGCTATGGCACTGGCCTGTTCTCCAGACAGGAGTAATATTCTCTCTTATGGGCAGGGTATGATTGCAGAAAGGGGGAGCCTGAGCTGTTCTGGGCTTTGAAAGACCATGGTCAGCCTAGGATAAGCCCTGACTATAGAACGGGCCATAGGACATGCTGCAGTGGAGTCTGATAGGGGCTGGTTGGGAGGGGACTGTGTGATGCCTGTAGCTGGTGACCTGAGCTGATGTCCACCAGGGGTAGCCCTGGATACCGGGAAGGGTTTGGTTCTAGGGAGTCCCTGGACAGGGACGGTGACCCAAGGTGGGGTTTTGTACGTGAGAATTCTGAGCCAACATTGGTTGTGGACATGATGTCAAGTCCCCACACTCAGACCCGACGGGGAAAAGGGAGAGCACAGTCAGAGGCAGGCTCTGGAGCAGAAAGGCAGGGCTGCTCTCTGGGGTGGCTTCCCTAGAAGATCATCGGGGAGAGAACTGTGCCCAGGGCCCCTCACAGAGCATGATCGGCTCTGGCCTCATCACTCACCAGAAGGCTGGCCACAAGGATTACTTCCTCTCTCTGAACCTCAGTGTTCTCCATTGTAAAATGGACATGATAAAGCTTGTGGGCACAGAGCACACACATAGCAATTGGTGCTCACTGCTTTCATTAACCAGGCGAGCTGAGCCAAGCCCTGGGATTCCCCCCAGGGGTTACAACAAAAGTGGCCTTAATGGAAGCTTCTCTCTAATGTGATGGAAGTAAGTTGATGGATATCCTTTTCTCAGTTTTTGAATTTTTATGCCTATGAAAGCAAGACTTAAAAAGGACTAACCACGTTTAACTCTGAAGCACTGGGGGCCAGAGCTCCTAGAAGCATGTTGTCCTATCTTAAATGCATTCTTCAGCCACGGCATGGAGCGAAGCAGCTCTGCATCTCAGGGTTTACTGTAAAGAGCTGCAGGACGCCCAGGGCCCTGCCATATGAGCGAAGCATGGATCCGAGGCCGGGCAACTGGGCAAGCTGTCTCCGGATGATGGGGTCCACAGCCCAAATGATAACAGCAGTAATAACACACCACCAATAACTACCTCTTATGTAGTGCTTAGTCTGGGCTGGCCTCCTATTCACAAATTATAACTCATTTAATCCTTGTAGCTAGTCTTTCAGCTGATGCCTTTATTATCTCATTTTACAATGAAGAGATGGAATCACAGAGAACCTGAGTAAGCTGCTCGAGGTCACACAGCCAGTAACTAGGAGAACCAGAACATTCAAACCGAGGCACACTGGCCCCATGGGCCCCTTGTGGAGATGTTTGCAAAGGGGGCAGGATGAGAAGGAAAAGGAGAGGCTGCTCCACCGGGCGGGGTGGCCACGCAGCCAACTGGTCCTTTCCTCCCGCGGTGGATCCGGGTGAGATCGTGAGACGCTGTCCCGGCTGTTCTCCTCCCTCTTGCCTTCATCTCCAGCCCTCAAAGCTCTTGGCTCAGCACAGAGCTCCACGGGGTGTTCTGAAAAGTTAGCTGCATCAAGACAGCCCCAGCGGTGTCTGGGAATCAGGCCTGCTTTGGTCGCTAACGGGAGAATGTCACTGAAAATGTCCCACCTGCTGTGAGGTTTGGCCCAACTGCTGTGAGGTGGGCCAGGCCTTTGGAATCGGCTCCAGGCTGGTTTCCAGAACTGCTCCTCTGCTCCCTGGCTCCTCCTGCCACATGTTGGAGGCCAGAAAGGTTGACAGAACAGCTTTGTCTCCTGCCCTGGAGGTCTTGGGTGGTGAGTGGTGTGTGAGCGCCACAGGAAGTGGAGAGGGGCCCCAGACAGGGACAGGTGGGCTTGGAGCCCCGTGCCACTTTGACAGGGGGCTCACAATGGTCAGACTTTTTTAAATACCACCCCTGTTTTGTGCTCTGGGCCAAGTGTCCTCTATCTTTCTTAACCCATACAGTAAACGTTGGGGCAATGTTGCCATTATTTCCATCTCGTAGATGGGAAAATGGAATCTTGGAAAGGTAAAGAATTTGTGCACTTGCTCAAGGCCAAGCAGGTAGCCAGCAGCAGAGCTGTGCTTAAACCCAGGCCCGAAGAGTCACGTGCCCTGCCCCCTGCCGCCTGGGCCAGCCCCGACCCCATTCTGCCCACCGCGTAGGGCCCGGTTCCGCAGAGCAGGTGTTGGTGCCAGGGCGCCTTTCCTGGGGGGGTGGAGAGGAGGAAACGGAGGATCTCAGGCCTAACTGGCAGGGAGGTCTTGTCCACCTGCATCGAACCGGGGAAACTGTATTTCCAGACGCTGTTCCTAGATGGTTTAATTGACCTGCCAACAAGTATTTATTGGCGCAGCAGCTCAGGAGAAGAGGCTGGCAGCCGGCCAAGGCTTCTGGTATTGATGAAGGCCAGAGAGACTTTTCTACTGGGCTGAGTACAAGGGCACCATCCCCTTGCCAGAGCCAGTCTGCACTGAACTCCCCACCTTCCTGCTCGACTCCCATGTGTCTACAGGGTGCCACAGTCCTCCCAGCCTCCTCTGCCCTCTCCACCCAGGCCTGGTCTCCCCTCGCTCCTCTGCCCTCTCCACCCAGGCCTGGTCTCCCCTCACTCCTCTACCCTCTCCACCCAGGCCTGGTCTCCCCTCACTCCTCTTCCCTCTGCACCCAGACCTGGTCTCCCCTCGCTCCTCTGCCCTCTGCACCCAGGCCTGGTCTCCCCTCGCTCCTCTGCTCTCTCCACCCAGACCTGGTCTCCCCTCGCTCCTCTGCTCTCTCCACCCAGG